TAACAGTAGGGGGGTTCCCGCGGTGAACACTACAACCAGACTCGCGGCGCCACCCCGAGAACGCCCGACCGACGGGTCGTCGAGACGCCTTTAGCCCTAACACTAGGAGCAGGTCCCCAGCAGCAGTACCCCGGTAACCGTACTCGTCGAACTCGACAAATAGTTCGAAGTGCAACCTAACTCATGCATCAGCGGGTCGCGATTCCGATCCGGTAGTAGATTCATTCGCGAAGCAGCTGCTCTTGAGTTGTTAGGTCTCCTTCGGAGGCGCTCGGGAAGCTCGGGCGTCCTAAATGTAAACACTATACATTCCGGCTTGAGAGCCAAACGGGGTGGAGTCCTGTTGTTATTTCCTTGAAATTCAATAAAAGAAATTGTTTGGAAAAGCAAGTCTTAATTACTGTCGAATTGTATATTCGTCAATATCGTCAATAAATTGAAGATACATTAGGAGTTACGTTCTCGCTACCGTTGCCATAAGCGTGAGAGAAAGAGACGACAGACAGACTGACGCCGTAACGCGTTACGTAACGAAGCGGTTTACTCTTCCATAACAAATTATCACTTCAAAACAACACTGAGTCATCGTATTATTCCGCCGAGACAAATACCACCGACACCTCATTCCTCCAATCGTATATCAATAAAATACTAATTAAAAAAGTTCATAAATTTATTAATAATACAAACACTACATGATATTCATATTTTGGACGGATTCATTAATAATATTGTTACATTTATTGGACTTAAACTAAAAACACTTCGATTACCGAACACCAAACATAACCATCCAGAAGGAGCTATTGTGACATCTCAATAATCTATAATATATAAAATTCTCGTGTCGCGGTGTTTGTTCCTTAACTCCTCCGAAATTTCTCAACCGATTCTCATGAAATTTTGTGTGCACATCGGGTAGCTCTGACAATCTGTCAACATCTATTTTTCATACCCTTATATATTAAGGGGGATCTACCAAAAAAAAAACCTAGAAATAATGTATATGGCAAAACAATGCTTGTCGGGTCAGCTAGTAATTAATAAATATCTTTTTCGGAGTCGTATATTTCGCTGCGTTAGCTTCAAACTAGACCTTTTTTTTTTTAACGTTGGGGAATCCATTTACGGTTACCCGGTCGAGGGGGGTAACGGACCGGGTTATGTCGGACTCCGGCGCCTCCTGAGAGGAAGAAACTTCAAACTAGACCTGACGTCTCATGTTCCTATAGTCTTCTCTATCTGACACCGATTGAATTATTAACTGTATTAATGTTCTTGTGTTTATTTTTTAAACAATAAAAAATATATATTCAGTCAATATTATTATATCAAATGGATGTTATTTACAACTTGTGGGTAGACTACAAACTGTTATATAAGTAGCGTTGAAGGAAAAAAATCCGAAGCTTGTTTATAAATTTAGATTTGTAATTATAAAACGCGCAGGTTAAATATTTCAAGGTAGATACAAAAATAAATACCTGAATTATCATGTACATATTGACGTGATAACGTACCTACTACTCAACCAAGCGAACTCAGCACTTGATTGGAATGCGGCCCCCTTCCCGATTCCCCGCGCGCTCTACCTCTGTCGTCCACGACGGGCGCGCAGTTGCTAGTAGTATTAGCCGCGCCAATAAAGAAACGAAACGAAAATGGCGTCTATGTACCTGCACTGACAGATGGTAAGGGTCAACAAAAAAGAGAGAAAAGATTGATAGTTGTAAAAAAAAAAGAGAATGTACTTTACTTTATGCCCGGGCAGAGGGGAGGTGTTTCATCTGGGATGCAACTTGCGTAGACACTTTTGCTACCAGTCATCTAAGTCGCACAACTCGAAAGTGAAAAAACTCGAACTCAACAACAAAGTCAGAACTGATCTTTTTTTTGCATTCAGTACGCGCCGTGTGCGACTGAAGACAGCAATAGTTTAGAGCGAGAGCGCACGATCGCCGCCGCCATTTTAGATTCGTTTGTTTATTGGCGCGTCTTATAGTAGTTACAATTGAATTGAAGCAGCATTTTTTTTTTTTTTTTAAATGACTTTTACACCTTGAACTACTTATAAACAAACACGTATTCTATCAGTTTGTAAAATTAAACAGTCCCTTTTCGATGCCTCCAATGAACACTACGCTAACTCCAAATTCGTAGGTTTACAGGAGGAGCATTTAAACGAAAAAAGTTGATAAAATCTTTATTATTGCAGATATATTTATGGTTTTTTCTTGTGTAGCTAGCTGATTTACTCTTGCTTCGAACCCCATCAATAATGATTTGTAATACTTTTAAAATACCGAAGCGATTTGCGTGAAAAACGAAAATTTCAAAATTTTGAGTTAGTGTAGTGTTTCATTGGAGGCATCGTTTTAGTCTAGAAAAGGACAAAGTACTCTTTCCGTCTCTTTTAAATCAACCGCATATTTTAAGTATTAAAATTGAAAAGTTAAAAAAAAAATACAATTCTTCAAATACATTTTTGCGCTTATCAAAGAAAAAAAAACAAGGCTTTCGGATTAAACCACTTCAATTTTAAAGGTGCAATATTTCTAAGTTAATTCTAAAATAACATACAATAAACTAAGTGCCAATTAATTACTGACGTATTGCAATTATGACTTTTAAAAAGTCATCGACGTGAACACACTCAAAAGCTCAATGTACAAAGAGCGAATAAAGTTCATAGTTTCTTCATATAATTAATATAGGTTAAAATAAAAGTTAGAAAAATTAAAACTACCCTACATTTGAAATATTCAAAAAATATATCTCTAAAATTGTTATTTCTTTTTAGAAAAAAAACTATTAAATGCAATATCAATAACATTCAATAGATCACAAGTAAATAATCAAAACTTCATACAATAAAAACAAAAAAAAACTCACAGAGCTTAGAATCGCCGTTATGAAGTCGTCGTGGCCTAAAGGATAAGATGAAAAAGAACTACCGACATAAAATCGTAAAAGTGATTTTTCGTAAGCGTGTGTGCAACTGGCTTAAGCTAAAGAAAATACTACGGTGTATGTTTCCTTAAATATCACTGCGATATTATTTAAATCAACTTCGATTTGTTGTGACAATAAAAAACATTAATCTATCAAAAGTAAAGAGTCCCTTAAATACTTAAACTTAATACGCGTCGATAAAAGAAAATTACTTAAAATAAATCTAGTTAAAGTAGGACGGAAGATACATAAAACCAATAAGGGCATATTTAAAAATAATAATAAAAAAAAAACTGTAATATTTCAGTTCTGCATATTCAGATAAAATGATCAGTACGACATTTCAAAGTTCGCACATTGAAATTTATCGCGTGTGAAAAACTAAAGTTCCTTTAAACGATTAACTGTGTGGACGAGCTCACGGCCGCCCTAGTGATAAGTCGTCACCGGAGCCCATGGACATCAACAACACAAACGCCGCCACCCAAGTACAGACATGAGTTTTAAGGTCTCAGTTTCACAGTACAATGGCTGCCTTGCCCTTCGGACCGAAACGAATTACTGCTTCACGGCAGAAACGGCCCCATATCTGGGTTGCTTTGCGACTAATGCACCGGGCAAATATCTGGGGAGTTATGCCGCGGCGACATTTAACGCGGCTGAGGCAGAAAACCGCGTTACATTTGTTACTCTTGTAAACTACGCAATGTAACAACAATAAAAGATAATTGGCCTCGTTAGGTCAATGACCCTTCGACACAGCGGGTCAATGGAATACAAAACAATATCGACAGTCTACCCGCGACCGTGGTGCTTGTAAAATTTACATATAATCGTGGTCAAAATCTCTTAAATACTAATTTTCATAATAAAGTTTCAAGTTAATATAACTATGTGCGAACCTCTACATTACAAACAAACAATTCTTACATATAACAAATGGAGGGTAGAACTAAGGAGTACCATCTCAGTGTATTAAAGAGTGTCCGTTGAAAGGAAGCCAACTAGGTGGCGCTATTGTAGCAAGAGGAAGGATTTTTAAAAGCGCCATAAACTACCACACTTCGCTTGTTAAAAACTGCTATATTCATATAATTTCCAATCCCATTTTTTTTTATTGCTTAGATGGGTGGACGAGCTCACAGCCCACCTGATGTTAAGTGGTTACTGGAGCCCATAGACATCTACAACGTAAATGCGCCACCCACCTTGAGATATAAGTTGTAAGGTCTCAGTATAGTTACAACGGCTACCCCACCCTTCGAACCGAAACGCATTACTGCTTCACGGCAGAAATAGGCAGGGCGGTGGTACCTACCCGCGCGGACNCAGTATAGTTACAACGGCTACCCCACCCTTCGAACCGAAACGCATTACTGCTTCACGGCAGAAATAGGCAGGGCGGTGGTACCTACCCGCGCGGACTCACAACAGGTCCTACCACCAGTAATTACGCAAATTATAATTTTGCGGGTTTCACTTTTATTACACGATGTTATTCCTTCACCGTGGAAGTCAATCGTGAACATTTGTCGAGTACTTAATTCATTAGAAAAATTGGTACCCGCATGCGGGATTCGAACACCGGTGCATCGCTTCAACACGAATGCACCGAACGTCTTATCTTTTAGGCCACGACGACTTCAAAACCTTCCTACCTAAGGTGATGGTCTAGGGCAGTGATGGGCAAAGTACAGCCCGCGGAAGTATTTAATCCGACCCGCCAAGAGTCCACCCATCTTAAATAATATTCTAGTCAGCATTTGGGCGCGTAAAATAAAATCTGACGTTTATAACTGAAAATCTTCGAATTTTTAATGAAAGCTCCAATTCGTCAGGGGTGTTTTGAGCTTTCATTATCTCATAATTAACTTGTCATCATTATAATTATCTCGGCAGTCTGTCACAGGTATTAGTTTATTTATTAAAAAAAACATTTTTCAATAATCCTGGCCCACCACTGGTGTAGGGAGACCATGTCAGCGTCACCGGGCGAGTAGGTGAGCTCACGGGGCTCAAACCTGAGGATGTTGCTAACACGAACCCTAGCAAGAGCCGTGCTTCGCAGAATCTACTACACTAGCGCTATTTCGGTGAGTCTTCCAACAGCAACTTACTGTGTACATACAGGGGGACACTTTATCAACTTGTCCCCCTATAGAAGACTGTGCTTCTTACTTCTACCCTCATTAATACAAAATTACACACATAAGAAGTTGTAGTTATAAAAAAATATCGATTAATAAAATCGATTTTGAAAACATCAGATCATTACTGAAGTCAATGTATAGCGCGTGAATACATTGCGTAGTTGTTACGGTGGAATTGATTAGAAGAAAAAAAAATATCATACAGGGGTTTCGAGACTTTCATTAAGCGGAACACACTCAGGAATCGAACCCTGCGCCTCGTGGCATCATATCTGCGAAGCCGGCATCGTGGACACCGTGCTGTGCGGGGTGGTCGGTCGCGACCCAGCTATGGACGCATTCAACGACGCCATTGTTCCCATCTGAGAAAGAAATACTGAATTTAGCTAACAAAGAAATACTCTTTTTTTTATTGCTTATATGGTTGGACGATCTCGCAGCCCACCTGGTGTTAAGTGGGTACTGGAGCCACTAGTTACTGCCTAAATGCGCCACCCACTTTGAGATATAAGTTCTAAGGTCTCAAGAATAGTTACAACGCGGCTGCCCCACCCTTCAAACCGAAACGGATTACTGCTTCACGGCAGAAATAGGCGGGGTGGTGGTACCTACCCACGCAGACTCACAAGAGGTACTACCACCAGTAACTACGCAAATTATAATTTTGCGGGTTTGATTTTTATTACACGATGTTATTCCTTCACCGTGCAAGTCAATCGTGAACATTTGTTAAGTACGTATTTCTTTTCCAATCTTAATTTAGTATCCTACTCTATATTGCGTTGTTGTTAAAATCTTTCCACTTGCTACAGTGGCGCCACCTTAATTGGGTCTTTCATCGGACGCTTTTTAATACACTAAGATGGCCGACTTTACTTCTACCCTCCATACACAGAATAAACCAATGGCATCTTGATGTCTGGCGAAGTTGTGTGAATTATTATTTCATTAATTTCTTCTAATTTAAACGTATAATAACTGTGATTTATTAACTGTTTAGAAACAATTAAGCGCACAAATCTGAGATATTGTAACACAACCACCGGACACAGCTTCTTGGGTTCCTCCAAAAACTTCACTGAAAGTCTCAGTAGATAGCCAGCATTTTAAAAAACCTTTATTTCATCCCATTTGTATTCGTTACATTTAATCGCATCCCAATTAATTACCGTCACAAATAAATAAACTTAACCTCATTCCGCTCCACTTTTCATGGATCAGATATGTATTATACATATTTCATAGTTGAAAATATTTACAAACTCGACACTGGCAACAATGGCAAAAAGTTAATTGCCATGCCAAAAAAACTGGTGGTAGTAAATCTTGTGAGTCCGCACGGGCAGGTACTACCACCGTGAAGCAGTAATGCGTTTCGGTTTCACAAATGGGGCAACGGTGTGATTAAAAAAAACTGAGATCTTATAATTCATATCTCAGAGAAAGTGGCGGCATTCACGTTTTAGTTGTCTATTGGCTCGGATTGCCACTTAACACCATTCGGGCCGTGAGCTCGTCCACCCATCTAGACAATAAAAAATCAAAAAAAGACCAGCGCGGTTCCAGTCTTCACGTCAGCTCCAAAAACAACCACCGCTTACCCTCAGATGCGCCAAGTCCTCGAGCTTCGTCAGATCGGCCAGTTCTAGATACAGGCTATACACTAGCAGCCAACCGTAGACGCCACCCACGCAGAACACTATCCATATTAAGCACATCATGATGTTGTAAGCGAATATCATGTCGTTCACTATCGAAGCGAAAATAAACGCGAAGAAACGGAAAATTATGAAAACTCCGAAGGCGTACAGCCAGGGAACCGTTCGCTTTTCGTATTCCTGAAAAAAAAAAAAGTTGTCTATTGCATAGTGTACCTATAACTAACAGCTTTATCTGTTAAGGTTTTTTTATAAAGACGTTATTAATCCTTATCCAAATAAATATGTTATTCGTTACAAGTACAGTCAAAACCGTTTACTGCGACATTCTTTAATACAACATGCCGGTTATAATAACCTAGAATAAAGGTCCCGGCTGAATGCCATATGACCGCCTTATTAAAAACATTGCTTTATACGACATTGGTAATAACGACATACCTCATAAAACGACCACATTTAACTAATATTTCGGAGAATTAGATCTGTTAGAACGACCGGCTAAGCTGTATTGTAAACAATTTGAAAAGGTATAGTAATCGGCAAACTTCTTGAGCAAATGACCTTGACTGCGCAGAACCGAATTTTAGATCACTTTGGTGGTGAGGGTGAGGCGCGACGGCAGGGGAAATCGTATCGAGCGCGTTATTGGTAGATCAGTCGAACCTTGCGTCCCGCACCGCGCCCTCGTTCCGCTTGCTCCCAAAAGTACGCTTGCGTACAGTGGAAAGTCTATCGTTATTAATCGTTAAGTTATTTGTTATAATTGCTTGTGGACTTTGTTGCCATTGCTATTTGTTGAGTGTTTGTTGATTTTTTATAAAACATACACTATGCCGTGACAAACTGGTGTAGTACTTAAAAGAAAGGGTAGAAAATTTGTGTACGACGTATATTGCTTCATTATAAAACAGGGGAAGAATGATATGGAAAAATTAAAACAGACTTCGGAAGCAACAAAAACATCAGTGAGTACTGTTAGGTGCATTATTAACGAAGCTAAAGGCTCTGGCTTGCTCGCCGTGTTTCGGACTCCGGGTAAGAAAAGATCAGGGAAGAAGAAAGTTACCGGAATGGATAGTTTCGTTCAATCTGTAATAAAAAGATGTAATCATAATAACTACATAACAAGCAGCGAAACTCCGTACCGTAGAAAGGCTTCGAAAAATTTAAAGAAGATATAAATTTTAATGGCTCGGAATGAAGCTTACGACGAATTATGAAAGAGCTAGGCTTCAGATGGAAAAAAAGAACAGAAAATAATCGGAAGCTGGTAAATGAAAAAAGTAACATTCGATTACTACGAATCGAATATCTTCAAAAAATAATTAATTATAGACAAAAAAGAAGACCGAATCGACCGAGTTGTAAACTACGCCGATGAGCCCTATGTCGACTCATCACGATGATAGCGACTCGGGTGATGAAAACAGTGATGATGATGATGGTCAAGATTATGATAACGAAAAAAAAATTACAAATACCAGCTTCGCTTCAACTGAACCAAGACCTGGCAACAGCTCTAGTTTTGACTTAATAGAAGGAATATCTATTTTACCCCAAGATTAAATTATTACAATTATTAACCTATATGTTTTGTTGACGTTCTAATAAATATATAAATAAATACATATGTTGATTTTAATAATTTAATAGCATTATGACGCAGAGTAAGTAATGTTTTTGCACGTGAGTGTACCATGCGCAAACTTACCCCCACTACGTCAACAAATGCTCAAGAAGTTTGCCGGTTATTATATCCACATTTGTCTTCAATGGCTATTAAAATCAGGAAAGAAAACAATAGGATTTAGTTTAGTGTAGGGTCTTTTCTAATTCTTAGAAACAAAACACGTGCATGCAGTAGAGTCAAAGCCCGCTTCTTCATATCTCTTCAGTTAGTTTGTACTTATCTATACACAAGACGCACCAAAACTTTGTGGAGTTATTCGTGAAACTTTCAAAATGTCGCAAAGAAAAAGAAAACAAATTAATAATGAAGAAAAATCGCGTATTATGTAAATATATTTTACCAATAATTCCCTATCGATTTGTTTGTTACTTGCAGATACACATTAAACATGACCGGTTCTTACGACTATCGGTTTTTACGACTGAATATGAGCAGTCCCTTCGATGTCGTTATAACAGATTTTGACTGTATTTAATTTAAAAGAAATTTGCCCTTTACATAATTTGATTTCAATGAGTATCTTAGAAGAAGATATCGCAGTTTTAAAATAACATCGCAGCAAATTAGGGCTTAGGTTCTATTTGGCTTTGGTCAGGGTTCGGCTCTTAGTCGCCTTCTACGACACCCATGAGCTAAGTTTGGGTTGGGGGTATTCTTAGGCGCCCATCACACGCAATTGCGATTGCATGCAGCAGAGATCCGAATGTTGCGATGGATGTGTGGAGTAACGAGAATGGATAGAATGCGGAATGAATATGTTAGAGGAAGTCTGAAAGTGGCCCCTGTGATAAAGAAGCTGAGAAGTGCGCTTATGGGATGGTATGGATGTGTTACGAGACGAAATGACAATGAGGTTGGTAAGAGAATGTTAACTATGAATGTGGAAGAATATAGAGGAAGAAGTGGACCTAAGAAGAAATGGATGGATTGCGTGAAAGACGATATGTGTAAGAGGGGAGTGAGCGAAGAAATGGTATATGATAGAGGAGTATGGAAGGAGAAAACATGTTGCGCCGACCCCAGGTGACTGGGAGAAGGGACTGGAAGAATGATGATTTAACATTAAAATTACATTACCTTCCTTAAAGCGTTGATTAATATTATGCTCGTTATCAACACGGCGATGGAACCCAACCATGAGAAAAGCGAAAATATTATCAAAACATTGCGTACTGGAAAAGAAAAATAAATATATAATAAACTTTTTCTCATACAATTCCATCTATATTATTTTAAAACGATTATAATTTAAGAATGCAATTTTTTTATGCTTTTTAATCCTACCTATGTTGATAGCATGGAGAAGCTGTATCAGCATAACTCTATCAAGAAGGTGATCTCACGGTGCTCAAACCTGACGATGTTGCTAACACTAGCCCTAGCAAGAGCAGTGCTTCGCAGAATCCACCACCGGATCGGAAAGGCGATCAACTGAGAAGATCCGGCGAGAAACTCAGTGGACTGTGTCTGGGTTAATTTACTCGCCGAGCCCTTCGTCGCAAGCGACAGGTTCGACGAGGACGATGACCGGAGAATGCAAAGATAGTCTTATTTAAATTCTTTATTTTATTTCAGTAATTTAATTAATATTTTTAGGGTACACTGTTTCCCCTTAACATATTATGCAATCTATCTATGAAGACAATACAATAACCTCTTTGTGTACTACATAAGTACATAATATACTACTAGTATATTTATAGATACTAGTGATCGCCGGTTGTTCGAAATTCGACCATAATTAATTTCAATTATAAGTTTGAAATTTATGATAGTTCTATAGACACATTTCTATTATTCTATTATATACATAATAATTGTTCTACAATCACAGATTTCGCCACTGCAAATAATACATATTAAATACAAACAATATTAAACTATTCTTAATTTGACCATAGATTGTAACAATAAACAAGAGTATAAATGTGTGTGTTAGTGTGTGTATTGTTTTTTTTATTGATTTAATCTATTTTTTATGGATAATTAAAAAAAAATATAAGTATTCTGCATTCCTTCTCTATATTCTCTGTAAGTATGAGAAATTTAATTTTCCTCCAACCATGCAATTTTCGTAAAAAGGGTACAACGTTTTTGCTTCACGTATTAATATATATACATTAATCTAAAATACTGCAAGAAAACTGTAAACAACTTTAAGGATTACATTAAAAACGAATAGTGCTGGTGATTAGATATTATACGATGTGTAACCACAAGTAAAGTCGAAGCCAGTAATATTTAACTCACCTGGGGGGCTTCCAACGTAGACAAATTCATAACTGACAACATAGAAACCAGTATGATGGGATCCAGGCATCGCCATGTAAAGGCAGTACAAGTCGAAAACACTTTGTGCAAATGTGAAAATTGACATGAACTGAAATAAATTATAATATGAAATTGAGTATTGTCAATAACAGCGTTATTTACACTAAAGATTAGTGTATGTCGTGATGTCATATTGTTTATTTCATTTCCTCAATGTGTAGAATGTCTTGTTTGGAAATCGAAGTTTGAGTCCAAAAAGCCCCATGTTAAACCCATATTACCTTAAAAATTGGCACCTGCCTACAGGATTTGCACTCAAGTACACATAATGCTTGGAATGTTCCCAGGGATCTTTTCTTTAGGTCACAATACAATTTTTTTAAGGAATAAATGTGATTGTATTTACTAACTAATGAAACAAATGGCCATTAAAACAATGCATGTGTCGGCAAAAATTTATAAAAGGTCTTATTAAGCTGACATATAGAAAACCACACATAAAAAAAAACAACTAGTAACCATTATTCAATATTACTCATGGCCCATCCAGTAATAAGTGGTTACTGAAGCCTATGGACATCACAATGTAAATGCTGTCACCGCCCACCTTGATACTTTAGGTTTATGTCTCAATCGTTTAATAATTACACATATACTTGCAGGTTTTGCTGCAGGTTGCTCCATTTTTATTCCACAATCTTATTCCTTTATTGTGGAAGTCATTCATGAACTTACTTACTAAGAAAACTAAATACTTATTTCATTACACAAAAACAGTAACTGTCTACAGGATTTGAACAGTCCAATAGTCACATCACTGGATAGGAGTACACCAGATGTCTTTTAGGCCACACCCATTACAAAAAACTATTATAGGAGTGTTCCGGAATAATCAAGTGGCAATGATACTGTTACACCAGTGGCCTGAGATACTCATTATCAAACATACCAAAGAAAGAAATGCAGTGAGCAATGATCCTCTCTGCAGGTCCAAAATGACTGCATCATGTAATATTGGCTTCTGGTACCATGGAACTCGTAGGGATCTCACCGACTTTGATGAGCGTAGATTTGTTGATGACCTGAAAGAATAATTATGGTTTTTCGTATGCGCATTTCCAATACTGAGATGGTGTCTGCCATATTGGTGGTGATTGATAATGATTGCAAAATACTTTAGAATTTTAGCAAATCTATCGGGTTTTGCAATAAAATACAAACATAAATAACACTAAATAAACAGAGAATACAGCCGTAAGGTTTGCTAAAATTTTGAACTAGTATGGACAAGATTTTTGAATACTACGAAGTATCAGTATGAAAATTACTTAAATAAACTATTTCAACTTACTTCCCTGTGTAATGAGAATACACAGACGGTGTAGAACGATAAGTGGTCGGTGTTTTTCGACCGTACATTTTTGAATTCGTTTTATTAGTGTCGAAGCTGTAACACCATGAAATCTTTAATTACGCAGATCCTCTCGTCTAAAGCACATTCAAAATTCTTATTTATACGCAACCAGGCTATTTTAAGTTTAAATGTACATAGTCTTATGGTAATAAATGCATTTGATTCAAAAGGCCACGCCTGTAAACAGCTTCTTCTGAACAACTTTGTTAGGAATCCGAAATGTCAATTTCTTAACGTTATTTGGACAAATGAAATAGTACATTTTGACATTTGACGTCTCACACATTTGCATTTTATTGTTCTTTTCATTTGTCTTTCTTATATTTTGATACGTTTCTAGAGACTGTTTTGCGGAATTTATTGTTATGGTTCTCTTTAACACAGGAAATATTTTCCGTCGAGTGTCTTTGAAAGATTGAAGCTAAATATGTTACATTATGAATTTCTAGACGAAGTTCTAAATGTAAGTGTATTATTACCATAGTGGTGAAGGCTTTTAGGTTTAATTTCTAATTTATCTTAATTCATTTCTTAGATCTTCAGTTCCTGTTGTACCCCAAACCATCTATCATTTCATCACAAGGCTTAGTTATTAAATTAAATAAAAGCATAACGTCAAATAATATAACGCTGAACAGAAGATACTCACTAAATTCTGGACCTTAAAGTATTGTCGCTTTAAACAAAAGAGTAAAATCATAAAACTATTCTAATCTTTGACAAACAAATGTATAAAACACTGTCGATTTTTCAGTGTCTATTTCAAAACACACTACAAGTACACGATTCGGTGGCAATGTCAAAAGTCAAAATCGAAACAATTTCAGGTGCTTAAATTTACGTTAAATATACATTTAGAAATGGAGGATACAACAACACAGCAGAAAAATAAGACGACTATAGTAAAAGATGAAATCGACGGAAAGTATTACGACGCGATCAGCTATAAAACCCACGACGGCTTATGTTGTACGTGAGCAAATATTTGTTTCAATCAAAAATCTTAATTAGTTGACGATTCTATTTTGCTGGCTCAGGTACTGTTAAAGTCCTTAATATTCTTCATCCGATCGATCATCAATATCCTTTAAATGTAAATAATCTCACATTAATATTAGCTGTGAAACATCCCGTATTCAACACAGACATCTCCACAATACCAAACCATACCATATATGCGTACCGTATCGTGCCGTACCGTGCCGTGCCGTGCCACGTCGTACCGTGCCGTACCGTTCCGTTCCGTACCGTACTGCTCCGTACAGTACCGCGCCGTAATAAGCTCGATCAACAAAGCGCCCGTATTTAAATGTGTACCGCCCGTATTTTAGGTGTCTGTCACAAAACTCCGCTGCAAACGAGAATCTACCACAGCCATTTATTTTGCACCGAATGTTTTCATAAGTACATATGGACAGCACCGAAAAGAGACTGTTCGGGAGACGTGGATAAGCCACAGGGAAATAATTGAAGCAAATCGAGAAGTAAACTGTTCCACTTAAAAACAATTTGTGAAAAAGGTGCAAATTCTCTTGTGTGGGCTTAAATAAAATTTCATGTGTAATTTCGTTCATAAAATTGACTTTAATTCGTTTTATTTGGGCTTTTACTAATTGAAGATTCCATTTTATACAAAAAAATGTTGTGTAATGAATGAATTCTTGGGTGAAATAATTTGTATTAATTAACTATCTATTTAGTGAAATACGTACTTAACAAATGTTCACGATTGACTTCCACGGTGGAGGAATAGCATCGTGTAATAAAAATCAAACCCGCAAAATTCTAATTTGCGAAATTACAGGACGTCTTGTGAGTACGCACTGGTAGGTTCCACCACCCTGCCTATTTCTGCCGTGATTTTCGATTTCAAGGGTGGGGCAGCCGATTTACTGTAAAAACAGACCTTAGAACTCATGTCTGAAGGTGGGTGGCGGAATTTACGTTGTATCTATGGGCTCCGGTAACCACTCAAGGGCGGATCCAGCTTTGGCGCCAGGAGGGGGTCACATAGTCAAATTTAGATGCGTTCGTTCTCAAACGTTTGCCTTTATACAAAGTAATTATATTATATTTAATTAATTAAATATTAAAGGTATGTAGTTACATAAAATCTGTATGGTGACAAAATATATAAATAAAATCATTATATTCAATTAGTGGTCCACCTAAGTCCTGGACCCAGCTCAGGGGGTGGTCATGACCCCCATGACCCTCTCCCTGGATCCGCCATTGTAACCACTTAACATCAGGTGGGCTGAGAGCTCGTCCACACATCTAAGCAAAAAGAGAAATGGTGGCATTTTAGAACCGCAGCTCAACGCAGTATGGTCAATGTTTATGATTATTATATGTTAATGATTTAATTTAATATATTATTTATTATTTATTTATACCAAGCGTTATAATCCAATGTTACCATCGTCAGTGAATTAACACCGGTCCATATACTTTTTCTCTTCCATTCTCTTCTATCAGCGGTCATCCCAACACTTGCTCCTCTCATATCGTCATTCACACACTCCATCCATACAACAACAACAACAACAACGGTCAAGTTGTAAGTTTAATTGGACAAAGAAAGCAAAATTTTATTACTGTAACAACACATTTAATTTTTAATAACAAGAAACAGCTTTAATTGTAAAACACACAGCCAGTTTGCCACAAACAACTCAAACAATCCGATGTTTTTCCCTTCTGCAAGTCAATCCAGCCGTTTAAAGATTCAGAAATGACATTCCCGTCGAAATTCTTCCATTCCCTTTCGCCCGCGCCGGTCGCTTGCAAGTATTTCGTAAGTTTTTCAATTTTTTCAACTCCACACGTTTCAATCTCTACATTGCTAGATTCCTGGACGTCCGATGTATCGGTGCGATTCTCAAAAGACAGCTCTAAAGTCGAATCATCGGTTCTACAGTCTATGGTCGTTGTAGCTGTGAAAATGTTTAATTCTTACGCACCTATGAAAAAAGAAACGATGTAATGTGGAACAGTAACCATGCAGGGCTTTTAATATAAGTTAAAAGTGTCGATACTGACTAATACTTGCATATTTACTAATAATCAAGCTAAATATGTATTTTATTGACAGGAAATTGTGGTGGAAATTTTAAGAGGCTTATGTACAACAATGAACGACTATGGGCTGTTTTTTTTTCTACCTATGCTATCAGTCTTGGGAGGCTATTTCAGCTTCACCCTAACGTGTAGGTGAGCTCACGGGCTCAAATCGAAAGTGTTGCTAACACTGGCCCTAGCAAGAGCAGTGCTTTGCAGAATCTACCACCGGATCGAAAACGCGACCCACTGAGAAGATCAGGCGAGAAACTCAGTGGGCTGTGTCTATGGGTCTATTTACTCGACGAGCCCTTCGTCGCAAGCGACTGGTTTGGCGAGGACCGTGACCAGGGCTGATAATGAATAACGTTAGTATACAAACTTCTTCAAGTTATAATCCATTTAACAATTTATAATAAATTAAAATTTCAATTCAGAATTCCATTAGAAATTTGCGTTTTATGTTTCATTGTATATAGGTTATATTTTACTAAATCCTATTATCAGCTGTCCCATTATCACATCACAAAACTAGCAAAGGATTTTTTTAAGCAAACTAACATTTCTTTGGTTCGCTATTACCGAACCACTCTTGCGGGCCGGTACCACAGCGACAGAATGGCGGTTGTTGCCCTTGCATAAAAACAAACGGGGCACCATCCTTGCCAGCCATAAATTGCTTCATATTCTCGGCAAATCTGGGGTCCGCGAATTGCTCGAAGCATTGCTTGAAGAATTCATTCGGGTTGTCCTTATGTCGGTGCAAGACGTGGTGTTGGAAGCAAGGCTCGCAGAAGACTTGACCATAGCAGATGTGGATGTTGGACGATGGAACCGTGTGGCAAAAATCTAATAATAATATATACATATGTTTATTAATGGTTACAAACATCAAAGAGATACAGTGAATTAGGCTATCAAACTAAGTTAACATTTAAAAAACATCAATTTTAATTAAAAATTAGTGAAAAATTTACCTAAAACTAAAAAACGGAGCCTAGACCCGTGTAATCTAATGTTGACAAAATGAATGCTGTTTAAATGATAGACCAAACTAAAAGTAGCATTTGAAAAGTCGAGAGTGATGTTTATAACGGAGACAGTATTAATATAAATATAGTATCTATCGGAAATGGTATCAATCCCCGATAATAGTGACTCATAAAATTAATATTCGCACACTATTGTATTTCAACGGAAACGATCAACAGTCTAAAAAATGATTCGCAACGTTAGATCCCATAGTAAATAATCCCATTCTCAGGATCGTTTGGAACCTCTCGATCTGCGGAGGGACTTCGGTTCTCTCTGTATTTTGTAGCTTATATTTCATGGGGAGTGCTCTGAGCAATTGTTTGAGATCATCCTTACATCTGGTATTTACCATCGGACCACCCGCTACCGAATTATAGTTCATTCGTAATACCTAGAACTACTGCCATCCACAGTCCGCTTCAACAGATCACTTTTGCCACGTACCATGCGCCTTTGGAATGAGCTACCCGCCACGGTTTTTCCCGAGCGCTATGACATGTCCTTTTCAAACGAGGCTTTGGAGAGTACTTAACAGTAGGTAGCGGTTCGGTTCTGCCCTTGGCATTGCTGACGTCCATGGGCGGCGGTAATCACTAACTAACCATCTGCCTACAAGGCCAATAAAAAACCCTAAGGACGCGCAGTTTCAACTGACAAATGCTTAACATAAATTAAACCAAGCCAAAACATTTCGATATGACGAACTGTAAGAATCTCCTTCTATTAAACTATAAATCTTAATTAAGCTCGACTTACAGCACTTGGCACAGTGACTATGGAAGGCCTGCTTGTCAATTTCAATTTTGTTATTCTCGTTGATCATTTGAAGGCATCGAGAGCAGACGCTGCGTTTTGTTTTCCCTTCAGAGGCCTCGGATTTGCTGCTTGCTGATGGAACCAAATACAACTATTAATATGTTTTCATTATGATCCACTGATTTTATCGATAAAACTGCTAAAGGAGATGCCGCCACTGGACTAATGCTTCATCGTACGCAGTAGACACAAATTGAATAGTGTCGTGGTATTAGTAGAGATTTAATGAATCCGTAGTAATTTGTATAACCGCCTGTCCTACAGGTACTACATAATGCCCTGCACCCGGACATTATGAAGTACCTTTTATATTGGCGAAACTGAGACTTTAGTCGATACCAAACATCAATCTGCTTTAGCGCACCCCGAAGAATTCCTCTGAGCCCACAAAAATTGAGTTGTTAAAAATATACTACAGTAAATTTAAGAATCACGAAAGTAACTAAAAGTAAGTGTAAAATAAACATATGTCGCTTGTTGCTTTCCGAGTGTAAGCTCCTGAGAAATACAGTTTCCAGCTTAAACAGACCTCCAGGATTATCCCCCTCCTGACCATTTTCAAACTTTCCACACGTCCACTGGGCCCAGTTTGTGTGGACAGATGGACATTCGCCTCTAAACCGATCTAGCACGTGCTGCTTGAAGCATCCATTGCAGAATACGTGCCCGTAGAACATCTTCAACGCCGACGGAATTGTTCTGCAGACGCCTGTAATAGAATTTGCATATCTGTTGCCAGTACGAAATTTTACTAGTTTATTACTGGTAGTAGGTCGTCTTTTAACCCGCAGAGTCTATTACTGATGCGAATCAATTATGCGTTCCGGATTGAAGGATGAGATTCCTTAATAGACTTAGATGTCTATTCATTCCAGTAACCAGCATTCTTAGTGAGAATTTTTTATTGTTCTTGATAGCGTAAAAGTTAACTCAAAGTATGTAGTAGCAAAGCGCCCCTAGCGGCAAACGTAGACAAACGTTCCAATTCCATACAAATTTGAATTAACTTTTACGCTATCGAGAACGTTAAAAAACTTGCACTAAGCACACAGGGAATAGCGTGTGCCGTGAGCTCTTTGGCTCATTGACCCGTCTACGCAGAAAAAACCTGGTTAGATTACATTTATACTTCAGGATTATTGATTCCTGAAATATAAATTTAAATAGATTGCTATTTATTATTCTTAAGAGTAAGTGAATAGCAGAACAATCTCTTACAACACGTGCAGCAAATTCGATGAAAGCTTTGCCCTGCTATTTCAATGGTGTCTTCAGAATCCACAGGTAAAAAACATCGAGCACAAAATGGCTTTTTGACTTGTTCTTGACCTTTATCCATAATTAAACTTGACTTTTTTGTGTAGGTATGTATTGAAATAAAATTTGAATAGTAACGAAAACAGCAATGTTTGAAAATGAAAAAATATTTCGTTTTGACGGTTTTTGAAAGTACTAAAAACAGAAGAATGTAGTAATATGAAAAATAAATGAATTCTGTTAGGTTTTAATGTAGTTTTAATAAAGGAGAACGTATTCAATGCTTTATCCTCTAAGCCAGGCCTGGGCAAATGGCGGCCCGTAGCGACCGTAGCGCGGCGTAGAATTTTGTCTGGCCCGTGAAGCATTGTATAGTATATATTATTATTAAAAACACAAATATTAGTTTTTGTCTAACATAAATTTTCTTTTAAATTTTTCTATTCAAATGACTCGATAAATAAATATTTTGATTCAAAAATGTTGCTTGGCCCGAGGTCAAATTTTCATCTGCAATGTGGCCCGACTATCAAAATATTTGCCCACCTCTGCTCTAAGCCTTTTGGACCTTTCGGAAACAACCTTTTGGAAACCTTTTGGAAACAACTGATTGGCATTGTGGAGTATTATGTTGTAAGCCTAAATTAATAGGTATTTAATCCTGATAGCATGTTGGCTTAAAATATGGTAGATTAATTACATTGTACAATAGAGATTTCGATTTCATGCCCCTAGTGAGTGGCATTCTCCTTTATTTTGTTACATATTATTTCTATAGGCTCCCGTAACTATTTAACCCGAGTTACACTGTGAATTTGGTGTTCGTATTGATTGCAGACCATTGTGTTCCGATAGCAAACCTTATAAACAATTCCACTGTTGAAAAATATTAAACACAGATGTCGCTGCGAAAACAACGATTCAAACAATGATCGCATCACTAGCGACCGTTGACTCAAACTCTTGTCGATTCATGACCAAAATAAAATCAAGTGCATCACTATTAAGTTGCGTATGTGTTGTGCTGTTAATATGTGTTATCTATCGTGTTTTTATCAAAAAATTGTTGATTATGGACTTATCTGGTATTAAATCTACGTTTATTTAGTGGTAAAGTATATCAACGCTGTTATCATAATGGTTTTTAGCAGATTGCAAAGCACTATACCACAATTTATTTAGGTTAGAACTGTTGACTCTCACCGACGAATAGTAGTTGCATGTTTTTACCATTTTCTATGGAAAAAATCTCTGTTTTTATTTAAATTGAAAATCAGACAGAAAGTAGAGAGTCTAGTCTACGATAGGGAATAATTAAATTAAACTATAATAGTTAGTTTAATAAGAAATAGGCGCGTAAACTTTGACATTTTTGAGTCATATATTTTTTTTTCTTCACGTAACTATTTGTTTTATGGCCTTCAGACTTATTGTATTGTTAAGACTGCACATATCTAAACGGTTTTAATTTATGATATAGAAAATTTATGACTAGTTACAAAGTTAAAAAATAAACTTCTGCCAACTTAAGTATAGATAACTTCAAGTTTATGTAAGGGAAGGATTTTTATCACGATTCAAGAGTAACAAAATATAAAAATATCCGTCGAAGTATTTTTAAATAAAATATTGAATTGAAAAAAATCGCCGCTTAAATTTATTGACGTTCTAGTTTTTGAATGCCAAAAACTAAGTGAAACTAAGTTATAAAAATATAAATAGCCATTCTCACATTACTGTACCCAATATTAGTACTCCTAATTCTTAAGCCTCCTGCCTTCCCAAGTAAAGGCGAAATTAGAAAAAAAAATTAACAGTGATATTAACAGAGTTATTAAAATATTCAGTAAATTAGTAATACATATCACTATGCTTAGATATACAGGGGATAATCAGAAGATACACATATCTAAAGCAGGAATACTAGTAAATGCTTTGTTGTGAAATCCTTGTTGTTTCCTTCTGTGCACTTGTTATTTTTTTTATTCCTTTAATGATTGGACAAGCTGGATAAAAAAAATGGAAATGAGGTTGGCAAGAGAGTGTTAAAGTATGAATGTGGAAGATTATAGAGGAAGAGGTAGACCTAAGAAGAAATGGATGGATTGCATGAAAGACGATAAGTGTAAGAAGGGAGTGAGCGAAGAAATGGTATATGATGTAGGAGTATAGAAGGAGAAAACATCTTGCGCCGATCCCAGGTGGCTGGGAGAAAGGCAGGAGAATTATGATGAATCTACGATGTAAATGCCAGCACCCACCTCGAGACATGAGTTCTTAGGTCTCAGTTTTTTTTTTATATAAAGGCATCTAGCTATTATTCCACATTTAAACTATTCACATTTGTTATCAGTTAGGAAAAAACATTAGGGAAATATATAAAGGCTGTAATTGTAATTTTTAAATGTAGTATTTTATATTTATAAACTTAAGAATGTCCTATACAAAGAACAGGAAAAATTGCTTCAAATATATTTGTATGATTTTGGTTACTGCAATGATTCATTAATAAAATCGTCTTTGTCCACAGAATGGTTCATCTGAATGTAAAGAAAAGAAAAATGTCCCGACATGAGAAGGCAAAGAGCGGCTTTGTGAGTGCTCACTTAATTTTTATTGATTTTTTTTCCTTCGTCCATATGTAATAACTACTATTCGATTTATCTAGTCAGTCATTTCCTCCTGGTTTAGGATTGTGAGGCACTACTATAGACTTCTCACTATTTATCACCATCTATTCCTATCTTGTCTACTAGAGAACACGTGCTGAGCAGCTTTTCTGGCTAAATCTATTGCTGCTATAACAATGTGTAGTTATGTGAGCATTACGAATTATTTTGATTAAGACTAGAACTGCCATTAAGACCAGTACAAACTTTAAAGTTAAAGCTAAAAAAAAACCAAGGGTTTTTTTTATATTCCTACCTAAGCTTATAGCCTTGAGAGGCAATTTCAGCGTAACCTTAACTAGTAGGTGAGCTCACGGGGCTCAAACCTGACGACGTTGCTAACACGAACTCTAGCAAGAGCCGTGCTTCGCAGAATCTACCACCGGATCGCAAACTCGACCCACTGAGAAGATCCGGCGAGAAACTCAGTGGGCTGTGTCTGAGGGTTAATTTACCCCTCGAGCCCTTCGTCGCAAGCGACGGGTTCGACGAGAACGGTGACCGGTGCTTGAAGTACCTAGAAGCACCGTTAGTGGATCGGGAGGATCCGAGATGACGTGTTTGGGGCGACGTCGACTGCTTTCCATTCTTTCCGCCGGATCGGGAATGATCCAAGGGTATCGATCGACTTGTGCACCAAAACATTTGAGAATTCTTGTTAAACAATAGTCACAATTACACGTTGCGTAAATAACACATCGTCACTAGTTAGTACAAGATAGACTTATACCTGTTTATAGAGTACAAGCGGCCTACCCCGGCTCCGCTCGGGTCTTTAACAAAAATTTCATCAAAATTTGACGTTGTTTTATTTAAAAAAATAAAAGAACACTTATTGCAGCATAACTATAATAGTTAGACATATGCCGTCGCGACACTTTTTGTAAATAATAATGTGTTCTACAAAGTCGTAGTACATTATTTTATGCTATCATCAATAGTTTTTGCAGGGCACGCGATGTAAAGAATATTTTAGTTATTTTTTTTACACCTTGGGTTACATTATTGGAGTTTTAGTAAGGATCCCAAATTTTTTTCAAAAAGGATTATAGCCTATGTCACTCGGGAATAGTGTAGCTTCCAAACAGTGAAAGAAATTTTCTAATCGGTTCAGTAGTTCGGAGCCTATTCAATCCAAACAAACAAACAAATCTTTCCTCTTTATAATATTAGTATATAAGTATATAATATTAGTATAGAAGTATAGATTAGTATAGATAAATAGTCATAAGGAAGACAGAGACAAACATTGTTTTTGGTAAAAAAATAAACTGTTCACTATTCGCGTGTCTGTCAGAAGTTTTAACCACACAGAACGGTTTCATCCGAAAACGCGTGACTGTTTGCTTAAATATATTCGTATTTACGTTAATAATTTCCGCGATGTAGCCAAACAAAGTTATATTACTTCATGACTTCTAGGTTAAGGATTTATTGTATGGTTCGTAAGATAAAGGCAGTTCGTATTGAAAATGGAAGGTTAGTAAATATCATATCGCTATCGAAGGAATCTTCAAGTAACACAGATGCCGCAATGGTTTCAAAATTGCACGCAATGTAAACACACAAAAAAATAGGACGACGTGTAAGGTCAACGCCCTCGTAGACATTAGTGATTACCTCGATATATTGTAATTGACAAGAGACAAAAAAATTACGAGAACAAAACAATATGTATAATATTACCAATAAGCAAATGAATATTGTTTTCCTTCTATGTTGAGGAAGTGAGTCGTTTTTAAATTTAGGGCCAAAAGCCAGTTATTTGATTTAATTCGCATAACCTTAATATTACCTAAAATATTATAAGTACAGTAAATTTGTTGTCATGACAACAGGCACGTGGTCCTATAACTATTTATTCGTATACACTATGAAATTAAGAGTTATACATTAAAAACTACCCCAAATCTCATTCGTATCACTGGGTTGAAATTCAAATTTTAACTTGTTTGCTTATTTTCCAGTTATGCGTCTCAAAATTCGGCAATTTTATTTAATCAGTATATAATACAATAATAAAGGAATACCAACTGGATATTAGAACATTATTAAAAACAAAAGAAGTACGATTTCTAAGCTTTTAAAAAAAGTTCCTATTTAAATTGTCATCCGTGTTGGCGTTATCAAATGCGTAAAATGAAAAATATAAATGAATGTTCAATTATCAATAAATTAGTGATTGACTTGATTGTGATGAAGCATTTTTTATTCTGAACATACCTAAATACAAAAAAATATGAAAATTAGGGAAAGTTTAAATTTATGAAATCGTTACATTTTTGGCCGCAAAATTGAAAATGATCCAAGTATGTTATCAGACACCGGTCACCGTTGTGGGTTGTTTTTCCTACCTAAGCTAATAAATAGCCTTTGGAGGCTATTTCAGCGTAACCATAACTAGTAGGTGAGCTCACGGGGCTCAAACCGGAGTGATGCTAACACTGACCCTAGCAAGAGCAGTGCTTCGCAGAATCTACCACCGGATCGGAAACGCGACCCACTGAGAAGATCCGGCGAGAAACTCAGTGGGCTGTGTCTGAGAGTTAATTTACTCGTCGAGCCCTTCGTCGCAAGCGACGGGTTCGACGAGGACGGTGACCGGTGCCTGTGGTACCTGAAAGCACCCGGTACCTAAAAGCCGTCAAACTCAACTGAGACGAAGAGCTCGACGAGCGAACTATTCCATAGACAGCCCACTGAGTTTCTGTGTGTCTGAGTGGGCTTTAATCTACAGTAATACAGTGTCGCCATGATTTAACACAGTACCAGCATACTTCACACGTACAAAAACAACACTATAATTACAAAAACAATTAGAACAAAAAAAATCTCGTCTATCTCGGAAGGCAACGACTAAAAAAGAAAAGCATTACACTACATATTTTAACGAGCATTTTACAAAATCGGTTCTCACATTAATAAAGTGTCGCCACTATTTAACGCAGCACCATATTTCACACGTACAAAAACAATACCAACATTACAAAAACAATTAGAACAACAACAACAACAATAAAAAAAAATAGAGCGTGTTTGTTGTCTTATCGCTCGAAACTATCTTCGGAGACAACGATTCGCTGGATATGAAATTATAAATGTAGATATATATATATATATATGTATATGAAACACTTTTCAGGCATTCGATAAAAGGGTCATCAAACGATTTCTTTGTTAATTTGTTGTTTGTTTTTGAATTAGCACTAATAGAGTATCGCGATTTTACTCGAGTAACATTGTGATTACTATGAATGTTCTCGAAATGAGACCTCATCTTTTTAAGGTTGCTTTTGGTGGTGTTAGATTGAAAACTGGTACGGAACGCCCGACATAAGTGATAACTTAAACTAATCTAATTTGAACTAGGTATTACATATGAGTCGTCTATTATCAAAGGTGGCAATTTGTGCATTTGGACAAAAAAAAATTATTGATATGTCAATACAGATTGATTTGAATATAATCGTCTCCTTCAAAGAATACGGTTCAAAACCTGCATTATATAAAGGTTAATAGTTAACCTGTTATTTATCTAAGATGTCGTTCCGAAGAGTTTTGTGACTGCCAATGGAATACAAAGTCAATAATTCGTTTTTCTGATTTACCAATCATTGTCCAAAAGTCAGATTGCCGGCTTTGATAATAGTCGACTCATATTGAAATTGTTTTACTTGAGAAAAGCTTAGGTTATTACTTAAATTTTATGTATATTAATGAGATAATGTACTTAAGGAAATTTGTAACATGAAATGAAAAAGATACATAAATAGTTGGGAGTTACATACGTTCTCAGTATCGCTGTCGTATGCGTGAGAGAAAGAGACGACAGACAGACTGGCGCCGTAACGCGTTACGTTACGAAGCGGCTTACCTTCCCATAAGAAGTTATCACTTCAATAAGGGCGTTAAATTTCGTCTGTCTGTTTCTTTGTTTGTTTGCTTTCATCTCCGATACCACTGAACTGATTGTTACAGGGTCTTCATTGGCAATTTCTCATACGTTATTCTGCTTTTATCCTGATAAAATATATAATTTATACGTTATTTTACTTAAGTACCTATAGCGGTAACTGGAAATGAAAACTTAATTCTTATCTCAATCGGCTTGAAGTTGCGATAGAACTTAAGAACTAGTTGTGTATTTGGCTTGTGTAGTTGACGGTCTCTTTGGTCGGGATACTTTCTAAGCGCTTCATTGTATCATGATTATAAATTTAATTCGGATTTGACCACGGAATTTAACGACGGGTAAAAAAGGTTCTTTGGTTGAAGCGATATTTTTGCAACTTTACAGGAGATCCGATTGAAGTTTAAAATTTCGAGAAAAATCATAACGAAAAATCTTCTTTAGCTATTTGAATGTAGTGAATTTAATTGAAGTTCAATTAAAAACATTGAACTGTTGATGCTAATACCAAAAAACACGCAACTTTAATGACAAATATATGCGAGACATAAGCGAAAAGTCGCTTAAAACCGATATAGAATCAATGAAAGTCTTGAATTTAGAGAGCTTGTTCGTTTGTTTTGGACCCTGTACCATAGACCATTGTATAGGGTACTTTTTTCATTGCTGCGAAATATGGGTGCCTATATCCAGCTTATTTCTGCTGCCATACAAATGACTTAATGTTGATTCGCGAGCCGGGAAGCTCTATTCATATATGGAATAGGAAAGACCTTAAAAAAAATTTTTAAAAAAATTTTAATTTTTTTTTCCAACCCTACCTGCATACGTGACGGATTGTATACACAATAGTGATAACGTAGGCTTATCTGTACCATTCTCTGCTCAGTCGATGATCGCACACGTCCGTTTATGTGCATCGCTTCGAAGGAATCGTGTAGTTTATGTACAAAACTAGCGACGGATCATTAAAATCGGTGCTAAATAGTGTTTCCTTGTGAGTGTGGTGCCTTAA